ACAAGTCAAACTTCCGACAATATGGACAGATGGAAAAGCAGAGGTGGGAAGAGTCAGAGAAGAGAAGAGCAGAAGAGAGAAGATCAGAGAAGAGAAAGAGTCAGAAGAAAGAAGATGCAGGTGCGCGAAAAGGTAGGAAAGTCGCGAAACTCCTTGTGCTTTTTTTCCAGTGATTTGTGGCTCCGGAGGGTCGAAAAGTACCTAGGCTCGCTAAAGCGGCGGGCGCGGAGCCATCTGGCCAGATGAGAGATGAAAAGTTGCACGCCGGTGTGGCGCGAAGCACATTTGGAAGTCAAAACGCACACAACACCTCATGTTCGGACGACTTTTGGAAGTTGAGATCTCGAAAACGTGCACGCTGTTGTGGCGCGAAGCACATTTGGAAGTCAAAATGTACACAACACCTCATTTTTGGACGACTTTTGGAAGTTGAGATGTCGAAAACGTGCACGCCGTTGTGGTGCGAAGCACATGTCGAAGTCAAAAGTGCAAAGAACTGAAGGGTACAGAGCACTTTTGGACGTTTAGATGTCGTTTCGCGTGGCAGGCGCAGGGGATTGTGTACCTTGTCAAAAGTGAGCCAAAACGTGAGGGTTTGTAGCAGTTTCAACTACAACCACCACTACACTACACTCCACTACACTACACTCACTACATTACACTCACTACATTACAACTACAACTACAACTACACTACATCACACTACACTACGCTACACAAATTACATTACACCACACTACACTACACGAATTACACTACATTACATTTCACTCCACTCCACCCCACTGCACTGCATAAATCAACTACGACATAACTACGACTGCAACGAATTACACCTACAACTACACTACAAACACTACACATCACTACACTACACTAATTACACTACACTACACTACACCACACTACCCCGCACTACGCTACACTACCCTATACTACACCACACTACACGTTGTACAACTACGCTACTTTACACTACATCACACTCCACCTCACTACACTACACTACCCTACATTACACCACACTACACTCATTACACCACCACAAATGCAACTGCAACTGCACTACGCTAATTACAACTACAGACACTACAGCTACAACTACAGCTGCGCTACGCCACACTACATCCAGCAGTTGTGCGTGAGGTGACCGACCAGGTGACCACTGCAACCATTGCAGCCACTTCAAAAAACACAACTCCAACCACCTTTCGGTCCATCAGTGGATTCGCTCTGCCATTCGTGATTCACAACACCCAACCTCTCCTATAGGTTTCCTATTTTTGAAACTTCCGCCGCCGCCTTGTGCGGTACTACTGGTAAAATTATCTCAAGACAGGTTCTCTGGGCACTCGAGTTTGCATCTTAAAACTTGAGCTGTAGTATACGTCAACCCGCATACATGCAAGATATGGTTGCGGTGATTTTGGCCATGGATCCACAACAATGGACAATTTGATGAGCAAAGGCAATCAACATGTATCAATGTCGCTAAACCTGAAGCTACATCCAAACGTTGTAGTTGAAGTTTCGTTAACAATACCCCAAATGGTGAAACGAGGTATGGTTTATGATCACACTACTCTGGGTTTAAGTATACTGAAATCTGAATGACCAGAACCCACAAAATAGGTGATGATTTGCAGGTTCAACCAAGCAAACAATGATTGTTTGCAGTATCATTTGCCCAAATAGAGCAATGTGAATACTTGTCAGTGGTTCCAAGATGTATGTACATAAATATGTGAGTATAAAAGTATTATAGTATGTATGTATGTATGTATGTATGTATGTTTGTATGTATGTATGTATGTACGTATGCATGGATGTATGTATGTATGCATGCATGTATGTACGTATGTACGTATGTAAGTACGTATGTAATTAACGTATGTATGTATGTAATGTAATGTAGTGTAGTGTAGTGTAATGTAATGTAATGTAATGTAGTGTAATGTAATGTAATGTATGTAGTGCAATGGAATGTATGTATGTATGTATGTAGTGTAATGGTATGTCATGTAATGCAATGCACAGAAACGTAATTTAATGTACTGTTTGTGTGTAATGTATGTAATGTATGTAATGTATGTAATGTATGTAATGTATGTAATGTAATGTAATGTAATGCCATGCCATGCCATGCAATGCAATGCAATGTAATGTATGTATGTATGGTATGTATGGTATGTATGGTATGTATGGTATGTATGGTATGTATGTATGTATGTATGTATGAATGTATGCATGCATGCATGCATGTATGTATGTAATGTATGTATGTAGTGTATGTAGTGTATGTAGTGTATGTAGTGTATGTAGTGTATGTAATGTATGTAATGTATGTAATGTATGTAATGTATGTAATGTATGTAATGTATGTAATGTAGGTAATGTAGGTAATGTAGGTAATGTAGGTAATGTATGTAATGTAGGTAATGTAGGTAATGTAGGTAATGTAGGTAATGTATGTAATGTATGTAATGTATGTAATGTATGTAATGTATGTAATGTATGTAATGTATGTAATGTATGTAATGTATGTAATGTATGTAATGTATGTAATGTATGTAATGTATGTAATGTATGTAATGTATGTAATGTATGTAATGGATGTAATGGATGTAATGGATGTAATGGATGTAATGGATGTAATGTATGTAATGGATGTAATGTATGTAATGTATGTAATGTATGTAATGTATGTAATGTATGTAATGTATTTAATGTATGTAATGTATGTAATGTATGTAATGTATGTAATGTATGTAATGTATGTAATGTATGTAATGTATGTAATGTATGTAATGTATGTAATGTATGTAACGTATGTAACGTATGTAATGTATGTAATGTATGTAATGTATGTAATGTATGTAATGTATGTAATGTATGTAATGTATGTAATGTATGTAATGTATGTAATGTATGTAATGCATGTAATGTATGTAATGTATGTAATGTATGTAATGTATGTAATGTATGTAATGTATGTAATGTATGTAATGTATGTAAGGTATGTAAGGTATGTAAGGTATGTAAGGTATGTAAGGTATGTAAGGTATGTAAGGTATGTAAGGTATGTAAGGTATGTAAGGTATGTAAGGTATGTAAGGTATGTAAGGTATGTAAGGTATGTAAGGTATGTAAGGTATGTAAGGTATGTAATGTATGTAATGTATGTAATGTATGTAATGTATGTAATGTATGTAATGTATGTAATGTATGTAATGTATGTAATGTATGTAATGTATGTAATGTATGTAATGTATGTAATGTATGTAATGTATGTAATGTATGTAATGTAATGTAATGTAATGTATGTAATGTATGTAATGTATGTAATATATGTAATGTATGTAATGTATGTAATGTATGTAATGTATGTAATGTATGTAATGTATGTAATGTATGTAATGTATGTAATGTATGTAATGTATGTATGTATGTATGTATGTATGTATGTATGTATGTATGTATGTATGTATGTATGTATGTATGTATGTATGTATGTATGTATGTATGTATGTATGTATGTATGTATGTATGTATGTATGTATGTATGTATGTATGATGTATGTATGTATGTATGTATGTATGTATGTATGTATGTATGTATGTATGTATGTATGTATGTATGTATGTATGTATGTATGTATGTATGTATGTATGTATGTATGTATGTATGTATGTAATGTATGTAATGTATGTAATGTATGTAGTGTATGTAATGTATGTAGTGTATGTAATGTATGTAATGTATGTAATGTATGTAATGTATGTAATGTATGTAATGTATGTAGTGTATGTAGTGTATGTAATGTATGTAATGTATGTAATGTATGTAATGTATGTAATGTATGTAATGTATGTAATGTATGTAATGTAAGTAATGTATGTAATGTATGTAATGTATGTAATGTATGTAATGTATGTAATGTATGTAATGTATGTAATGTATGTAATGTATGTAATGTATGTAATGTATGTAATGTATGGAATGTATGGAATGTATGTAATGTATGTAATGTATGTAATGTATGTATTGTATGTAATGTATGTAATGTATGTAATGTATGTAATGTATGTAATGTATGTAATGTATGTAATGTATGTAATGTATGTAATGTATGTAATGTATGTAATGTATGTAATGTATGTAATGTATGTAATGTATGTAATGTATGTAATGTTATGTAATGTTATGTAATGTTATGTAATGTTATGTAATGTTATGTAATGTTATGTAATGTATGTAATGTATGTAATGTATGTAATGTATGTAATGTATGTAATGTATGTAATGTATGTAATGTATGTAATGTATGTATGTAAGTATGTAATGTATGTAATGTATGTAATGTATGTAATGTATGTAATGTATGTAATGTATGTAATGTATGTAATGTATGTAATGTATGTAATGTATGTAATGTATGTATGTATGTATGTAATGTAATGTATGTAATGTAATGTAATGTAATGTAATGTAATGTAATGTTATGTATGTATGTATGTAATGTATGTATGGTATGTATGTAATGTATGTAATGTATGTAATGTATGTAATGTATGTAATGTATGTAATGTATGTAATGTATGTAATGTAATGTAATGTAGTGTAATGTAATGTATGTAGTGTAATGGAATGTCATGTAATGCAGTGCAATGTAATGTAATGTAATGTAATTTGTAATGTAATATTTAATGTTATATGTAATGTAATATGTAATGTAATGTAATGCGATGCCAGTATGGTAACAGTATGGTATGCTATGGTATGTTATGGTATGGCATGGTATGGTATGTATGTATATAGACACGTATATAGATATAGACATGACGATTCCCCAAAAGTGACGATGAAAATATTTTGGGCATGGCCACCAAGAACCAGAATATTGGTGGGTGATATCTGGTAAGTGGCAATCATGGTGAGTTTTGTCCCAGGGTTCTGGAGAGTATTGCCTGGATCCCAGGGCACCCAGGGCTGGCACAGGACACGGTTTCGGGCATCGTGACGGTTCAAGCTGGCTGTGTGCTGGAACAGCTTGACCAGTGCTTGATCAATCGAACTGGAGGTGGTGGTGTCCCCCAATAAACAAGGAACTTGGGGACTCTGGGGGATGTCTTGGGATCATTTTGATGTGTATATTGTATCATTGCTCCTTTCTATGCTGCTTCCTCATACCGAATCAGACATTCGATGTTCTTTGCGAGTAGATGGATGCCCTCATTGGGCCCTCATGTCCTCTCCCTCAGCTGGGGCCCTGGACTGGCCTGAGGTACTTGGCTCAGCATGGTTTCATGGTTCCACTGGATTTGGGTGCCAAGGGTACCTGCACTATTGGTGGCAATGCTGCTACCAATGCAGGCGCAACGGCATCGTAGTGCATCAGTAACACATGTGGAATCGGTATCCATAGTTCCATAGTGACACCTGAACCAACGAAGATCCAGGTTGTTTCGTCTGTTGAAGCACTTCGACACAGCAGACAGAAAGACTTGGGATGACTTGGGCCTTGGGTGGTATTTTCCCAGGAAGTTGTGCCGTGCCTCCCAAGTTCCAATGCCAGGATGATTCCGATGGTTTCCCCCATAAAATCCAGCTCTCAGCATCTCTCAACTGGGTTCGACGAAAAATGAGGGATACGGGATGCGCCAAAATTTTGCAATTGTCATTTTTTTGGAAACCATTTTATAAACTATTGGAACTAAACCATGAAGATTTACACCATCGGATGGGCGATGACAAGTGGCTGCCAGGAGGCCTGCGATACCTGCGCTACGGATCCTTGAGAGGCAATATCCTGGGAGTTGAAGCAGTGTTGGCCGACGGCCAGGTGCGATGTCACCAGATGAGATGGTGAAACTGAGGGTATATCATGGGATATTGGAGGAGTTCTTTGAGGTTTGAAACCCCCGGGATCTGGGAAAATGAGTTTTTTGTTCAACCATGGGATATTCGGGGTATATCATGGTATACCTGATTTTTTCGGAAACCCAGATGAGTATTGAATTGGTTGAACGGAACATGACACTACCATACGGGTCATATCCTGGAGTGAAATGCGTTTTTTCGGCAAAGTGCTGGTTCATCTTGACTCTTGCATTTTTTTAGTGTCTATGTACTTCGATGCCTATCCCAGTTCATGACTGCTTAGCCACCCTAGCTACTGGTCCCGATTCGGAAGGGGTTGCGAACCCCCCTTGAAATCCAAGTACGGGTCCCCCAACTATATTCATTTCCGGTATTGGAATGTCCAATATGAACTTTTATCTTCAAGTTCCAATTCCCCCATGTTTTTTTTTGCTTTCCCCGTCCTTCCACGACCGGGTCACGACTGGTCAGGTGGTGGATAGCCTGTCGGCTTTGCGGAAAGACAATACCGGCAACTTGGATGGAGAGGATGGCTTTCCATTGGGATGGACCTGGTGGTTTTCGATGTGTTTCATAATGGGGAGATGGCCAATGAATGCCAACAAACATGTGGGGATCCAATGGTATATTTGGCTATATGTCAAAGTTAAAGTTATATAAATGGGATGAAACCATCTTGATGGGAATGAGAGACCATTTGATTGGGGGGATGAGCATCCATTTAGCAGCTATTTTGGTGTGAACAGCAGGGTCAACAGTGATGAACATCAGGAAATTCTTTGTCTACAGTCAGGATACGATTACTGTATATTAGTGTAATAGTTGATAATAGTTTCCAATATAATGGTATTTAGTATTTAGTGGTATCAATGGTACAATGGCATTGCTGGTATTGATGGCATTGGTAGTTTTGGCATTGTTGGTAGAAATGTTCAATGGTTTGGATGATTTGTTTGTTTGAATATGGTTAGGAACAATGCCACTATGCTATCAGGATTCATGGTTTGGATTGGTGACTAATTCGTAGACGGTCAGCAAATGGAGTGTGGCCTGCTGGGATAGACGGGAATAAATTGAATTGAACGAAATGACGGATCAAACCCCAGTGGTCTAAACCCAATCCGGGATACTTCAAATATAGAACTTTTCAAATCCCACTGAAGATGAATTTTGTTGGACGCTTCCCGATGTATTTTTCTTCACTCAAGTATGCGTTCCTGCATAAATCAACGGGGTTGGAATGATTGTTCTCTTTTTGCATCAGACAACGTCTAGGATCCCACTGCCAATGCACATTTTTGAGGCTATGGTCTGCCACAGCTCTTCATTGGCTCAGAGGGAACACTAGGTCTGGATCTGGGAACAGCTGGTTGCTATGGTGACTTTTAGCGCTGAAGCTTGTTGCGCAGCTCATCGATTTTTTCGGCAGATCCAGTCACATCTTCGAATTTCATGGCAATTCACAGCATTTCTATTGAAATACCATTCCAATTTCCCATAACTAGCAGATCCCAAGCATCTGCTTGTTTGTTTCGGAAGCTCCGCGCCAGGTGTGATCACTAAGTTGACGATCTTGTGTCCACCTCGTCCCAAAGCCGTCAACATTGCCTTCTTCGCCTGCTCGAGCTTCGAACACGTGCCCAAGGGGCGCTGACCACCATGGACTGTCCTTGAGAAAGTGCAGTGGTTTGAAAACACACACACATATATATATATATACATATATATACACATAAGTATATATATATATAAACATTATATATATATATGTACAATATATATATACACACACTGTATATGTATATATATAGAGGGGGTTATTAAGTCATGGGAGATCCCCAGTCGTCACCATGGCTTAAGCTATACAAAGTCATGGTGATCTGTGGGGATGATCCAGTAGAGTTGCCCCGTATCCTATTTATGTATTTACAGATATCAAGATGGAAGCTGTTAAACATAATTATAGCTTGTGACATATTAATGATTTACTAGTGACTTTGTATATATGAGCGGATGATATATTACTATTAGTTCATTGGTTAACCATTATCTACTTTTATACTATATACTAGCAACTCAATGATCTATTAGTTTAGTTAACTAATAAAACTATGATAAAATATAATCCTAGTTGATATTTCTTGGACAAAAATGACAGTTACTACATGTGACTACAGTATATGGTAAAACCATAGTAAACCATCCCTAATTTCACCATAGGTACAAACCCACACCATAATTAGGTGTATAAACCATTCCCAAAGGAGTGGTTTATTATTGTTTTACCCCCATTAGTTGACTAATAGAACTATGATAAACTATACCCTCTGGTTATTTAACGTAGCTATGGAAAATGGCCACTTTATAGATGATCTATCATGATTTACCTATTAAAAATGGTGATTTCCCATAGCTACCTTAAATAACCAGACGGTAATCCTAGTTTCATATTTCATAGACAAAAACAATTACATTCCACGCCCTGGTGGAGGTGCAACGGACTTTCGCCCTGGCACGGCAGAAGCTGGGCGAAGTGCTCTCGGCGGTGGAGTTCTGCGATCGCATGGCCATCGACTTCGTGCTGCTGGGCGGAGTTTTAATGGGGATTCCCATGGCGATTTTAATGGGAAAAGATGGGAAAATCTCGAGGTACTCATAGAATCTACAAGAGGATTTCATGTTTTAAGCCAGTAACATCATACTATCAAATGGGGGATTATGGTTAATCGGATTTATGACGGAATGGGGGGTGGATTCAGACGACAAATCATAGCCATCTCCAAGTGTAGGTTTAGTATTGGGTATTGGGTTGTAACAAGGGGATATGATTTGTGTATATATATATACATATACATACACACATATCATATATATATCATATATACTTAATCCCTTCCCCCTAATACTAACCCCCCAAATAATAAACACATCAGGTAGTTTTTATTATTAGGGGGGTGTTTATTCTTAGGGAACAAAAGTGGAAGTTATGTAATTGTATAATGATATATATATATATATGTATGTGTACGTATATATGTAGTATGTGTTGACAGTAGAGGTTTCATGAAGCAGATAGTCAGAATCAGCGTCAGTTTCAGCCAGCTAAAAGTTGCTCAGCTAGAGCAGCCAGGCAGCTTGGAGTCAGGGGTTGGGATCAGGACCCTAACAATAAACACCCCGGGGTTAACTAGTTTTTATTATTAGGGGGCGAAGCCCACAAATGGTACTTTTTTTTAAATTGTTTTCTAAAGGGGATCAATTAAAAGTCAACTTGACCAACCTGAAATTTTCCAAAATTAGAGACGGACCCTAGTTCTTATTATTTGAGGGGGGTTTAGTAGTAGGGAGACGGGATCATTAGGGTTCGCTTCGAAATCCAATTTTTGGCAATGTTTATTGATTTTGAAATCGAAAAAATTGCTGTTTTTTCATTGAGGCATTGAGGGTTTAAATTTATTATTAGGGTCCGCTTTGGTTCTCTAATAAAAAATACCACCTTGATAAAAAACATTACCTGAGGTGTTTATTATTTGGGGAGGGGGGTTTAGTATTAGGGGGAAGGGATTAATCAATGTCGGCTCCCAAGGCGCCCTGCGCACAGTAGGAGTCAGGGAAGCTCTGACTCAAGCGTTCACCCTCCTCGGGCAGGCCGGCTTTTGAAAGGTTGCATTATCCACCCGTAAAAACAACCACATGTCTAGACATGCGCAGGGCGATGTGGACATGTTCATGCTCTGCGATAATCCGTGCGAGCCAGATGACATGTCACTGCCTTAGAGCGGCAATTTTTGCTGCTATGATACGTGCAAAAGCCACTTATACAAGTAGAACCCGCGGAAGGCGGGTGGTAGAAGTTTTGAGGTTTAAGAAGTGTAACGCTATAAGATCCAAAAACAAGGTTTGCCTATAGGAGCTGCGGCAGACCTCCATGCTCTTTATTTCCGGGGCTTCTGACCTCTTGTCGCAAATTGTGAAACCACTTCTCAACTCTTCCAACGACTTCTCACCTCTCTTCAACTTTTTGCAACGACCTTCATATCTGTGCATCTTCTTGACTCTCCTCAACTCTCTTTTGATCTCTCTCTCTCTCTCTTTTCTCCTCTCCTCTCAACTCCTTCCAGCTCGTGTTGACTCACCTCACCTCAGTTCCACCTGTCCAATTTTTTCTCAGCCCAGTCGAAGTGACACAGTTACAAACTTTCTTGTTCAGCCCAGTTGAACTGCCTTTCCATTCGATCATGGTTTCAACATTCGATTGTGTTTTCAGCCTCGTGTCATGTACTATCATTCAATCCTACTGGACTGTTGACTGTTACCTGCGGGTCCAACGTTCAAATGTAGCAGGTGCAACGTGATCTGCCAACAGTCACTTGCAAACCACAATCAGAATCGCAAGACTCTGCTGAAGAAGAAATGCCATTCGAGCAGGCTTGGCGCAGCTATTCCACACAGCGATCTGCGCAGATTGAATTGCACGACGCAACAGAATTGCAACACACTACTGTAGAACACATCGCTTTGATGCACCAGTTCCAATGCACAAAGTGTCTCAACGCATGCAAAGCACATTAGCACAGCATCAACAAAAAAGAAATAAAGGACCGGATAACCCCACAAGTCAACTTCTTCCAACAAGCAACAAAAGAAAGGCAAAGACGGCATGGGGTAAGCAAGAAAGAGAAAAGAGATGGTGAAGGATTGGTGTGGAGTAAGTTATGTGTGGACGAGTATGTGTGAGTAAGTTGTGTATGGATGAGTTGTGTTTGTGTGTGAGGTGTGTGTGTGTGTGCGAGTATGTGTGTGTGGTGTGCGGCCACGATCAAAGATGCCCCACGCCAGGAAGTGCGGCGAAGGGCAATCGATGCGTGACCATTGATTATGTGTCCGCAAACGTACAGCGCAGACCATCACGAAAACGGATGGCCCACGACTGGCGTTTGGATGATGTGTGTGTGTGTGTGGGTGTGTGTGTGTGTGCGTGGGCGTGTATGTGTGCGTGCGTGCGTGTGTGTGTGTGTTTGTCTGTGTGTGTGTGTTTGTCTGTGTGTGTGTGTGTTTGTCTGTGTGTGTGTGTGTGGGTGTTTGTCTGTGTGTGTGTATGTGTGTGTGTCTGTGTGTGTGTGTGAGTGCGGGTGTCGGCGTGGACCATGTACGCGATGAGGTCAGTACCTGGCAGGTAGTATCAGAAGATGCGATCACGCTGAAATTGCAACAAAACAGCTGTCCATGGGCAGTGCAGAATTTAGCCTACAACGCTCCTGTTCCTCTTGGCTTGTCAACTACTGCCCCACGACACCGGTGCAGACAAGCGCATGAGAAACAAACACAGCTGCACCTTTCGAAGTTTTGCCGCTATGATTCATCGGATAACGCATTTGCTTCTCGCATCAACTATCGCACAGTGCTTCAATGTGGCCACAGGAGCTATGGAAACTACCTTGCCTCAATCCATCGGATGACACACTTCCTTCTCGAACAACTGTCGCAGTGTGATAAACTCTCTTCAAGAGGAGAGGCATCATCTTTGCACGGTGCATCAATGTGCCCACACAAGCCGTTAACACAAACTTCAATATCGCAGGCATCATCTTCGCACATTGCATCAATGCGCCCACGACAGCTGTTGACAGTGTACCATCCCATGACATGAAGCTCTCGCGACATCTGCCTACATGTACATGGCATCATAAGGCAGTAGAGCAAAATACAAATAATGGTAGCTACCTCGCCTCAATTCATCGGATGACACACTTCCTTCTCGTAACAACTGTCGCACTCTGATAAACTTTCTTCAGCAGGCATCATCTTCGCACAGCGCATCAATGTGCCGACACAAGCTGTTAGTATAAACTTCGCTATCGCAGGCATCATCTTCGCACATTGCATCAACGCGCCCACGACAGCTGTTGACAGTGACATACAAATAGCTGCAACTGTTTGCACAGAACCTGTTCTGAGCTGGGACGAACGCCATCTTTTCTTTCGATCGCATTTGCATCGTGCTCAGGAGCATATAGTGTTTGTCCTTGCGCAACTGCTGAATGCTTTTTGCAAATGCCATGCCACCGTTCTTCAAGAAATTGTACGATGCGTTCCGCTGATCAGTCAAACGAGAAATCGTACAGATCTCCACGATTTCGCGTTGAACCGATCAACGTAATGCTTCGTACAACTTTTTGAAAATGGTGGCATGGCATTTGCCAAAAGCATTCAGCAGTTATGGAAGGAGGACTTAGCATCAAATGTATCTTCGCACGGCGCGTCAATCGATAAAGAGCATATAGTCTTTGTTCTCAACTCCCAGTTTGTAAGTACGTCCGAGACCAAAAAGGAGTAGATGAAAATCCAGAAACAGTTTCTATCCAGTCTGCCTGTAGTGATACCATTCTGGCAGACTGCATGCATGCTTTCCAGTGCTCCGACAGCTGTTATACCGCAAGAGTCTGCATCCGGTCTGCAGTGACACTGCAAACCGTTATCCACGTGCCTCGATTGCATCAAACCTTGACGCAGAGCAAACACAGGAAACCCAGGGTCTTTGCCTGGACCGTCCAGCCACAGACGCTGGGAACTGACTCGCAAGGTCGAACTGATGCTGTATCTGTAACTGTTCCTGAAGATTCGGTGGCAGAATTGATTCTGCACTGCTCACGCACGTCAGCTCTCACCCGCGCGACCCGGCCCAACCCGCTCGCGGACCCAGGGCTGCGCCGGGCAGACCGTCGAGGCTGAAAAAAAAGAAGCGGTTGCATGTTGAGTGGTTCAGCATGCTGTCTGTTGGGTAATAGCGTTGCGTCGTAGTCTTGACCTGGTCGGTCTTTTTCCAGGCTGCCCGCTCGGGCAGCCTGGCCCACCCTCCCTACCTCCCCACATGGGGCCTGCCAGCAACTCTGCCGCAACACTTACAGCAGAAGCACCGCCAGGCCACATCAGAGGAACCGCGTCATCACAGAAACCGCCCGTCAAAGAAAAGTTCGAGACAAAAAATCTTTCTGCGGTCCAAAAAAGGCACAACACAGCAACATGACATACCATCGACAAGCAACACCTGGCAGCACAGAAAAAGGATCAAGATGACGAAAGCACAAAATAAAATAGTTCTTTGTTAGAGATCCACAGCGCAGCCTGCAGTTGTTGGCATCGACAGCAACAGAGCGCAAAAGTACCTAGCCGCAAAAGGACAGGACGCGTATATGGAGCTAGCTATCAAAGCAAGATGCGCAGAAACGATACAATTCAGTCTCTTGCACGAATTGTCTCCTTTTATCTCCTTTTTGTGTGATCAAAATCCTGACAAGACCTGTAGCACTTTGTCCCGCAGTGGGGCCGAGTCTAAGCGTGTCACGAATGGTTTTGATTTGGCCGTCGCGACCCCAGTCTTCCCACATTGGGTCAACAATGAGTCTGGCAGCCAAGAAAACATCACGTGGCCGTCGTCATTCATGTCTTCCCACACTGAGTCAATCATGAAATGAGAGCTGACAAAAAGATTCGCAGGCCGGCCCCACGCATGTCTTCCCACAGTGAGTCAACAATGCGCGCGGCTAGTGCGTCTGACGCCGTCAATGCGGCCGAATACAAACTCGCTTCATTGCTCTCGCCAGCCTCTCAAAGCTCTATGATACCTTGCTAGTATTTGTTCTCGCACTTCGAATGATCGTTGCTGTAACTCCGCTTCTACGTTCAGCAGATTATCTTTCAGCATAGCGATGACAGCCAAGCTGTTGCGGCTAATTGCCCTGATCTCTTCTAACAGTGGTATCAATCGCTCCAGAAGTACGACCAACGTCTGCACTAACCTCAATGCACTTGTGGCGCGTTCTAGCTCGATGAGCTTGCTAATGAGTTGATCATTTTCTGCCTCATACATGGCATTGTCCCTGGCACTATCTCTGGCAGCCATTTTAGGCAACACTATTGAGATATGTCTCGATACCGAAATTTCTCGGTTCCAAAAACAAGGTACAGTGGTTTCCAAAGCTTCAACCAAATCAATTTCAACAATTTTCTACACAGCAATCAACGTGAGAGGCATCAAGCAACTTTCGTCTGTCTGCAACACATGATTGTTTGTGGTACATTCCCTCGTCTGCCAACACACATCAATCAACAAGCCTCGGCGTGCTGGCATCAGGCAACATTTTCTAGCGACGCAGTCACAGCGACTTCATTTTATGACGCTACCTCTGTAGTCTTTTCCCAAATACGTGAACCGCACGCAGTGCGAGTGCGATTAGACTCTTTGCACGTTGCGCCAAGCCTCTCCGGTTCACTGCGCGTTCCAATGTCAGCTGCTTGGCATGTCTTTCCACATTGAATCAACAATGCCGGCAGCCAAAACAGCAGATAAGAAAGCTTACGTATAGACTTTATACGCTTGCATGCTGAATAGCCTCGCAGATTTCGGCGAAAGCCGGCTTATTCCATGGACAGACTTTGCCGTCCTCCACCACAGGCACACGAAGATAAACTGGATCATATAGCAACTTGGCACGTAAAGTCAGTCTCTGGCCATCTGAAGACACTAGCACGTGCAGGTAATAGGTCGACGTGGACTCATCAGCACGAAATTCGGACAGCATCCGCTTTCCCAGCTTCACGTTGCAGTGCAGCATCTCATAGAAACATTGCCGGAGCCGCTTGGCTAACGGACCGTCTGGGCACCGAAGATCAACGTCTTTCAGTTGCACCCGATCCAAATTTCGCAGCATGAGAGTCTGAAGCTCGCAGAAGTCGTAGAGCGGACTGGTGCTAGGCTGCGGTCTGTAAGTCGCAGA